GTGTATGAATGGGTACCGGCGAATTTAATGCTGGGGGATAACCCTGGCAATAGACTAGCTTTCCATCCAGGGGGTAGGAGACATACCACTAGTCCCTTCATGTTACTGAAACTGGAGATACAGTAAGCACCAGCTGCAGATACATTTGTGAGGCTCATATGCAGACTATGTCTTTACCTTTTTTATGTACCATTGATTGTACACTATTGAATTTGGCTGTTACTTTAATTATTACTTACATTTTTATTTTCCATTCACAGCACTTGTTGACGCAATTGTCCGTAAAGAAACTGATGAAATTAGGAATATTTTGGAATCAGAGGATGTAGACATCAATGGGTAGACATGCCACATCTTTTATATAAACTATTCCTCCTAAGATCGGCAGCCTCCATGATCATGGTTTTCACTCTGGTCATTCTTATCCTTGTTGTCTTGACACAAATACATGGTGTACTTTTGGACTTGGCTTGGGGTTAACTAATGGGTCACAGGATGTTAAATTTTGTACATCTTTACTTACACATGATATAATAACTAAAAAAATTGAAATATAAAACAACCAAAATTAGGTTTTTTAGCAATCATCATTTTTGATGGTCTGTTAGCTCTCATATGCCTGTATTGCCAATCAATGTTATTTATTTATTTTGCGCAGGGTTAATGATGATGGGTTGGCACCTCTAGATGTGGCTGCCATGCTTGGTGCCCTTTCCATTGTCAAAATGCTTTTGTTGTATGGTGCTCAAGAAAGCTCAAAATGTAAGTGCATGGTATTCTGGTTTTCATTGGGGATTTGGGACCCTCTCTTATCTGCTACACTTCACAAGTACATTTAAGCTTCAAGATAAGTCCATTACCTCCCTGCCAATAACATCATTTCTGAGGAACCTGTTGTAACCAGACTGGTAGATGAACATTTCCCATGCAGTAGTAGATGTCTTAAGTTTACTTCTTGTGATCCCTGGACATGAACAGCCTTTTTCCTTCATAGTAAAGGTGGGGGAGGGAGGGGGACAAGGTGGTCTGAGATTTCCAGGTCTCACACTTTAACTCCCAGGTACCCACTTCCTTTACCCCCTAAGAGTGCAAATTGGCACACAAGGTCATAACTTTGTGAATATTTGATAGATTTCTATGAATTTTGCCATGAAAATTGTCTTTTGAAGATCTGCTCATTGAAGTCATAAAATTTTGACCCCCTCCCATCCAAGACATGGTTGACCACCCCCAGAAGTTTTTAGTTCCTTTTTCGGGATGCA